AGACCCCAAAATCCATCGAGAACCCAAACCAGTAGCAATAGCAATGCTGTCCTCCCAGGGCTGAACCAACCACTTTATTTTGGTGGAGAATCTACCAGAACAATGGTGGCTGAATTGAATTAAACAATGTTTTGCAGACTTGTCCGTGCCACCATTCGATTGCCACGAATCACCGCAGTGTTCCGGGCATTTCCGTAAGGAGTCAGCTCCGAACGCTGGCTTGTGGCCAGATTTACTATGGACCAACTCGAACAAACAACAGCCCAAGTGCTTAGCAGATCGCCCCATCGCGAATGCAAAATCAAAAGTATGGCCAACCTGGGTGGCTGAAAGACACAGCATGTTTGTTATATCGCGGTAGCTTTGCAACATGGATGGATGGTCCCAAAATGGATGCCTTATTCATTGCCCAAAAGGGCCCCCGAAACATAGTAATTAATTGGACTGGAAATGATTATTATCATGTTGTCATTTTCCAAGACGAATGGTTTCAACACATGTGTCCCCAATAAAGACCCGCCCAAACCAAGCAATTAGCGAGCAAGGACTTCCAATTGAGTTGGGGAAAAACTTGAATCGGTTTCATGTAGTTAGAGGGCTGGCCCTTGAAGATTCACAGAAATAACTATCAGGAATTGCACCTAAAAAGAACATTGTGGAAAGACACAAACGCCCAAATTAGCTTAGCCGCACGAAACCTGCTTCACCATTCAAATCGAATGCGGATCTCCGCGGCATGCCTGAATGGCTGGATTCTCCTGGTGGGGGTACATCTTGGTTGATATCAAAGGAACGGGCAATGTAACCGTCATGGTGGGCGACTTTGGCTATTCGCCCAACACCTGAGTAGAACTCCAGCACTTGGATTCCTTCACCGACACCATCCCAAGCAAACGTCCCCGAGGTCATAAGCCACCATGCCAAAAGCACGAGGTAGATGAAATCCTCAGCAACCCAACTCTTGATCGGCTGCAGTTTTTAAATTCTAAGATGTTTCGTATTACGAAAAGATTGTGCCACTACAGAAGTAAGTTTCATACATGCTGAATGTTTCAATCCCCCAACTACTGCAAATCCACGGCGGGAATCCACCGGAGCGCCAACGGCCATTGCAGGCAAGATTGAACCTAGCCTGTGTAATGGTCATTGCGCAGTGAGAACTGCAAGAGCTGTTTGAGCCAGATCCTAAGCATTGGGTCGCGAGCTTGTGGGGAATGAGTAGCGCATGCCTTTTCATTTTATGACCTGGATAGCTAGGCATTCAAAAATCTTTTCTAATCATCCACCGCGACTTGACCGCTTGATAGCAAATTTAATAAGCAGACCCTCAAATAGCCAGGTTTGCCATCATTGCAAGCACCAAACCGGGCTAACAGAGCCTGGCCCCGGCGGAGGGGCATCTGCGCGCCAAACTCCTGGCACCAAGCTTGTGAAAGCAACGGATAATTAATTTTGTGGGAATGTCTCAACATGGGGGTGCCCCACATAGAAATTCTACATTCTACATGTCCAAACATGTACTTTGTTGTTTGCTTGACATAGGGCCTAGTGACGTTGAACTATCTTTTTTTTCGGCTGCCGGCTCCTTTCCCCTGCCAAACTGCTGGGGCTCGTTCTTGCCCAGCACCTGGCATGAGAATAGAATGGCTGACCCATGCGGGAATGAATATATATACCTGCCTCTTCCAATGTATGCAAAATTATTGCTCTTTCAGGAATTATTGCTGCCAACACTTTTTTTTGCTCCCGAGCAGTTTTTAGGTTTCTGTCATTTTGACATGTTTTGATGCATTTCCATCAAACATTCAGCCCTTGGATTGGTGAATGAGGGCTTTGGTGAGTTCAGAATATAGCAACCCTCAAAGAACTTCCCTAGTGTATCTTGAACATTCTTGAACAATCTGTGGTTACAGGGGTTGTGCACACAACATCGCAGCTTGCGACATTTTCGCTCGCTATGCCGGCTGAAGCTCTCCAAGGGCCTTGGTGCAGCCGGCTAGATTGTTCTCAGGGGTCATGTCTCAAGCTGGGTGGAAATTTCTGGTGTTCTATTGGCCCATGACCATGTCCGAACAGATTTAATGTAAAGATTTCTGGCTTCAAGTTTTTCTGGGCAGCCAAAATGGCATTGCCAAACAATGGTAATGGTGTGTCCCTTGCTATGCGCTTGGAAGAGGACAGCTCCATTCGTCGCTTGGTTAGGGAGACCAAAAGTTTGACCCAATGGAAAAACAAAAATTTGATTGGGGTGGCGTCAACTGACGCTGCGGCATACAATGCCGCCTTGCTTCGTCATGTGGCGGCATGGTATACCCCGCAAGTTCCGATGCCGCAAGCTATCCCCATTGAGGCGATCAGAGCGGAGGCCCAAAGGTTCAAACAATGTTTACCCCACAAATTCATTTGGGTACGAGCATGGATCAAGGCCCCGGGCACACACACGATCCATATACCCCCGATCCATACCCTGTGGTACTGCATGATCCGTACCCTTGATCCATACCCCTGATCCATACCCCTTTCTCATTGAAGAAAGATTGATGCTGGCCCTACTGCTGCTTTTTATCCTAATACTGCTTCTGGTCCTCGTACTGCTACTCCCGTTGCTACTCCCGTTGCTACTACTGTTGCTACTATCGTTGCTACTGCTGCTACTGCTGCTTCCGCTGCCTCCGCTGCTGTGCTGCTGCTGCTGCCACTACTAGTCATCTTCCTCCCAGGAGCTGGTGCTACTGCTGTCGCTTCTGCTGCTGCTCCTGCTGGTCCTGCTATCGCTGCTGGCTGGTTCACTTCCTCCGTGTGCTTCTGGTAGTTGGACAAATGCAACTAGTTGGGTAGCTACTAGCAATGCAAGCGCACCTTGGAGGCTAGTCAGACTGGTTCTAGTTCCACTAGGTGCTTCTTGTACTTCTAGTGGCGCTATGATTATAACTCCTTCTGTTTCTGCTTTGCCTGGCACGCGTAGAACTATATAGACTAGACTAGAAATACCCCGCTCTCTTCCTTCACAGCCATAGCGTGAAAGCCGGCCCAGATAGCGTGTCCCGATCCATACCCCGATCCATACCCATTCCATACCCGATCTATACCCGAACACAGTCACGCCACAACAAATGCCAATATGAAAGTCCGACTCTATTGCTACTTCTACTGCTGCTGCTGCTTCTACTACTACTACGCTGCTACTACTATACTACTACTACTGCTACTGCTAACTGCTACTGCTACTGCTACTGCTACGCTACTGCTACTGCTGCTACTACTACTACTGCTACTACTGCTACTACTGCTACTACTGCTACTACTGCTACTACTACTACTACTCCTACTCCTACTCCTACTCCTCCTACTACTCCTAGTACTACTGCAGCTGCTACTGCTGCTACTACCATGAGATTACTACTATTATTATTGTGACTTTTACTAGTACTACTGCTACTGCTATTTCTACTGCTACTGCATCTTCTCCTTCTATTGCCACTACTTCTGCTGGTGCTGTTTTTTTTCTGCTCCCTCTACAAGCAGTGGTAACAGTTTTAGCAGCAACAGTAGCAGGAGGAGAAGTAACGCTATGATGGGCCCTTACGAAAGGGTACGGATCAGGCACCTTACGTAAGCACTCGCGATCCATAGTACGGATCACCGCGGAGCGATCCATACCCGATTTTTGACTCGCACTTTAATTACTCTGTCATGGCCATTTGGAATTCAAATAGTTGTCTCCTTATCCGCAAATAAACCTTTCTATTGTGACATTTCCCACTGCAAACCCCTTGAAGGTGGTGGCATTTCGTCAAATGTTTGGCCTACCTCCCGACCAAGGAGGTTCTCAGGTGGATTCATGGGGGATCAAGCGTTTGTATTCCCACTTAGTGAGGAGGTGGCTGAGCGGATCCCAGAAACCCAGGGCCACTCGCAAGGATTGTTACAACGTCTTTCTTTTGAGGGGGAAAGGAAATCCCATTACCAAATAGACACCTACAATTTGGATTGGGCGACCCAAAACAATAAGATATGTTCACAATTTGTACCAAGGATACGTCTTTGCAGCCTATTTGGACCATCTTTGACCAGCACTGGGGAACTTCCTCAGCCGGAATCAACCATGTCAGCGATGATGAGCGTGAATCAGGAGTTGAGCCTGGGGGTGAACCTGAACCATCCCCTGAGTCTGTTGGTGATTCTGCTTTGCATGGTTCTTCGGTTGGTGAAGATGGCCCTGAAGATTCCAACCCGTTGATTGAGACCATCCCTGATGATTCGCAGCCTGTGGGAGAGACCGTGCTTGATGATCCCATGCCCAGCCTTCCTGACTTGGGGATCCCTGAGGACACTTGGGACCCAGCCGCAAGGGAGTCTGATGAAGAGCCCGGTGATCTTGCTCCCTGCGCGGTGTGTGACAAGGTGGGGCCCCATGAGTGCGTGGTGGACTCAGGCCCTTCAAGGGATGAGGTTGAGAAGGATTTGTCAACAATGCGCGACGACCTTTTGGGGAAGATCAAGCGTCTCAGGCTTGGCCCAACAAAAAAGAAACAATGTTTCACCACAAATTTAGTTACTGGTCCTCAGTCTTATATTTGGTGTCATGACACAAATAATGGATAATAATGGGATCTATGTTTTTTGGGGCTTTGGGGCTGGGGAGTTTGGTGGCACCACAGGTCCTTGGCAGCCGAAGCCAAGAAAGACAAGTTCCAGCGTGGAGACTTGGCAGTTCAAATTCTAAACCAAACCATGGACAATCTTGGACAACAAAGACAAACCAAATATTCAGTTTATAAATACCCTATAGTAAATAAATGCACCTCTTGTATAAATTTCAGTTTATAAATATACCCTAAAGTAAATAAATGCCTCTCTTGTAAAAAGACACCACTTATAGCAGCTATAGCACAACAAATTACAACTGAAGTACCCATCTAAGGATGACACTAAGGATGACCCAGAAACATTTCCCCAAAATTGCGATCGTTTTTTTCTCACTGGCCCGAGGAAAATCCATGGACAATTTGGAGACGCTGCCGATGGACCTCAATAACATTGCAGCTGCTGCCGTGGAAGCTGCTGCAGCCATTCATGGTGATGTCCTTGAGGTGCCATCTTCGGAAGATAGCAAGGACCCACCTAGATATTGTTTCTGATGACTAGTAACCTTCCGCCACACACTTGTTACTTGTAGGGCTACGCCCTTGCCACCATGCAAGGACCCAGAGGTGAAGCCTGCGAGTTCCGCATCCCTGCCACAAGGCAAGCCGGATGAACCACAAGGTGTTCCACTGACGGCCATGGACATGGACAAGGAGGCCAAGACCGGCAATCCTGGGATTGACAAAGGCAAGATCGACAAGTCTGAGATGGACAAGATGGAGAAGTGCGACAAGAATGCTGCCAATCGCGATGTTCTTGCGCTGATGGAGCTGAAGCCGGAGGTCGGCTTTGCTAAAAGGGGCGTGAAAAGTTTAAGGTTGAAGATACATGGGGGTCGAACACTTGACTTACACCCAAACCTTGATCAGGCACCTCTCATTCTTCGTCGTGAGCAACTATCAGCACCTTTTCGTGCCGGGGATGATGGGGAGACAGAAGACGCAGAGATGCCTGATGGTGAGGGCGACGGTGACCACAAGTCTGACCATGGTGAGGAGGAGGGAGACGACCCGGTGCTTAAGAAACCGGCGGCCAGGCGGAGCAGAGCCAAGGCGAAGGCGAAAGCCACCGCCAAGGCGAAGGCTAAGGCCGCCGCCAAGGCGAAGGCCGCCGCCAAGGCGAAGGCCAAGGCCGGCGCCAAGGCGAAGGCCGCAGCGAAAGCTGTTCCCGAAGCGAAAGCCAAGACAAGCCGCAAGTCTGTTGCCAACGCGGATGGCGACACTGGTGCCAAAGAGAAGGGCAGAAGGCCAGCGGCCACATTTGCCAAGCGTTGGAAGCCCGACAATGAGGAAGGAGCAGCACGCTTCTTGGCGATCAGGGACGTGTTCATGTCGCACATCGCCCCCAAGTTGCAAGCGCAGTCCAGCTTTCAGGAGCTTGTTTTTGTTTGTGGGTGGGACCAGTTTCAATCCAAAACTGTTCGCACTCAAGTGGCTTCCAAACATTTTCCCCGTGCAGTGCAGTGCCCACAATTTGCTCGCTTCTGCAGCCCTGCAGGATGGATGGTTCACTCTTTGCACCCGCCTCTTCAGAGGATCCGATGCAGTTGGCTACCCGGAGTACGTCGCATTGGCCACAGAGAAGGTGACCGAGTTCTTGAACATGGAGTCTGTTCGTATCTGGGTTTTTTTTCAGGGATGACTTGTCCCATCACCCTTCCAGCTATGGGATGGCACGGATGAGGCTGGTATGTTGAACACCTACGCACTGAATTTTCCCTCCTTCCTTCCTCCTACCCCAATCTCAGGCAGTGCCGTGAAGCAGGATGGCTAGTTTGGACCCAACACCAACACCAATGCCTCGTGCGAGATGTTTCTGGATCTGAGTCTGGGCCTGTGTGAGCAGTATGCTGGGCATATTGGGGATGCCATACAATAAACCCTAGTTCGGTTAGCCAGCCGCATCTCCACATTTTGGGGGCTGCCTTTCTTTTTGAAGCCCGTGGTGCCTTCCTTCGTCTCAACATTTCCAAAAACACTATCCAAGTTGATTCACCATATATTTGGGGGAAGGTGCTGCTCCCTTGTGATGCGTTCTCCACCGGATTTGCCTGATTGTGCCAGGGCAAGATTCCTCAGATTGACAGCGGCGAGAACAGCTGGTAGGATGCACTAGTCTGCTCAGCCGTGAAAAATTGAGAACCCCGAGATTCTTGGGGGAAATCTGCGAGCTTCCAGATAATGCGTGATAATAACATTTAGAGATGTTAGACAAATATCCCTTCAAGGTTTATTTGTTTGGGGGACAATAGCTCCAAATGTTGATCTAATGCTGATGATATATATATATATATATATTCATTCCCGCATGGGTCAGCCATTCTATTCTCATGCCAGGTGCTGGGCAAGAACGAGCCCCAGCAGTTTGGCAGGGGAAAGGAGCCGGCAGCCGAAAAAAAAGATAGTTCAACGTCACTAGGCCCTATGTCAAGCAAACAACAAAGTACATGTTTGGACATGTAGAATGTAGAATTTCTATGTGGGGCACCCCCATGTTGAGACATTCCCACAAAATTAATTATCCGTTGCTTTCACAAGCTTGGTGCCAGGAGTTTGGCGCGCAGATGCCCCTCCGCCGGGGCCAGGCTCTGTTAGCCCGGTTTGGTGCTTGCAATGATGGCAAACCTGGCTATTTGAGGGTCTGCTTATTAAATTTGCTATCAAGCGGTCAAGTCGCGGTGGATGATTAGAAAAGATTTTTGAATGCCTAGCTATCCAGGTCATAAAATGAAAAGGCATGCGCTACTCATTCCCCACAAGCTCGCGACCCAATGCTTAGGATCTGGCTCAAACAGCTCTTGCAGTTCTCACTGCGCAATGACCATTACACAGGCTAGGTTCAATCTTGCCTGCAATGGCCGTTGGCGCTCCGGTGGATTCCCGCCGTGGATTTGCAGTAGTTGGGGGATTGAAACATTCAGCATGTATGAAACTTACTTCTGTAGTGGCACAATCTTTTCGTAATACGAAACATCTTAGAATTTAAAAACTGCAGCCGATCAAGAGTTGGGTTGCTGAGGATTTCATCTACCTCGTGCTTTTGGCATGGTGGCTTATGACCTCGGGGACGTTTGCTTGGGATGGTGTCGGTGAAGGAATCCAAGTGCTGGAGTTCTACTCAGGTGTTGGGCGAATAGCCAAAGTCGCCCACCATGACGGTTACATTGCCCGTTCCTTTGATATCAACCAAGATGTACCCCCACCAGGAGAATCCAGCCATTCAGGCATGCCGCGGAGATCCGCATTCGATTTGAATGGTGAAGCAGGTTTCGTGCGGCTAAGCTAATTTGGGCGTTTGTGTCTTTCCACAATGTTCTTTTTAGGTGCAATTCCTGATAGTTATTTCTGTGAATCTTCAAGGGCCAGCCCTCTAACTACATGAAACCGATTCAAGTTTTTCCCCAACTCAATTGGAAGTCCTTGATCGCTAATTGCTTGGTTTGGGCGGGTCTTTATTGGGGACACATGTGTTGAAACCATTCGTCTTGGAAAATGACAACATGATAATAATCATTTCCAATTAATTACTATGTTTCGGGGGCCCTTTTGGGCAATGAATAAGGCATCCATTTTGGGACCATCCATCCATGCTGCAAAGCTACCGCGATATAACAAACATGCTGTGTCTTTCAGCCACCCAGGTTGGCCATACTTTTGATTTTGCATTCGCGATGGGGCGATCTGCTAAGCACTTGAGCTGTTGTTTGTTCGAGTTGGTCCATAGTAAATCTGGCCACAAGCCAGCGTTCGGAGCTGACTCCTTACGGAAATGCCCTGAACACTGCGGTGATTCGTGGCAATCGAATGGTGGCACGGACAAGTCTGCAAAACATTGTTTAATTCAATTCAGCCACCATTGTTCTGGTAGATTCTCCACCAAAATAAAGTGGTTGGTTCAGCCCTGGGAGGACAGCATTGCTATTGCTACTGGTTTGGGTTCTCGATGGATTTTGGGGTCCAGAAAACCCAGCTTCCTCGGTGATTTGCCTTCACCCACGCCTCCGCTGGTGCTTTGAAGTGATGCGCCGCGCTGGGGCCAAAGTGCTTTGGCCTCCATGAGTGTCTGAAGGAGGAGTGGTTTGAAGGGGCGTACCCAGCAAGTATCTTTCGAACCCACTCCATTTGAAATTCACCAGTTAATTAGTAGCTTTTCCAAGACATGTTAATGCGGAAATAGAATCAAGACAAAGCAGCATGGTTTCACAATAATTTTAGAGGTGGGATCTGATACGCACCAGCTCTAGGTCTGGTTTTCCGAAGTAAGGTCTACAAGCTGTGCTTCCACATGAAAGCTTTTGGAAGTGGCTCTATGAAAAGGATGATGTTCATAACCAATTGTCGGTCATTAGGTCACTTGGGATCGGCAAAGGCGCGCCGAAAAAGGGGCACCAAAAGGCTTTGCAGGAAGTACCTAGACTCCAAGGGCCGCCCAGCTTTTGCTGGGACCAAGGCACTCAAGCTATCCCAGACCCTCGTCTATTCTAATCTGTATATCTTCAAGAAATACATTGAGGGAGTTCAACATGAGGGTTCCCCACATTGTTTTAGTTTTGGGGCACCTTTATTTGACATGTTTGGGGTTTCCCCCCTTTTGAGACATACGCCTCCTTTATCAAAACCTTTTGCGGGGAAATTTGATGGTTGGAGTGGGGATAATCTCAACCTTTAGAGGTTCTTATATATGCATCCCAGGATTTACCCAGTGAAGTTTGCCAAAGCAATTGTTCGCTCCATTCCTTCTACCCGTTCTGAGAAAAGGCGGCCTTTCAATCTCCCTGTCCCTAGTCGGGATTCATTTTTTCTTTGTTGGTTGGGCGATGGGGTTAATACCCAGCAAGGCTATGAATCCCTTCCCATTTTCCATCCCAAGCGCTCCCGGCTCAGGTGAATGCTGATGTGCCTTTGCAGGCCGCCATGCATGCAGCAGGATGGACTTCCTGGGATGAATCTGCGCTGGGCCCGTGTTTGAAATATGTTTGGGGCTTCAAGAGCAATGCCATTCCTGAGGAATGGCGTGCATACAACGAAGCAGCCAAACGTAATTTTCCCTTAGGGACCTTCCGCGGGTTTACCTATCTCTGAAAAATTGGCTGAGAACATAATTTTCCAAACTTTTGACTTTTGGATCTGTTTTTTCGGATTTTGAACCGGCGAAAAACCCCGACGAAACGGCGAAAAACCCCGACGAAACGGCGAAAAAAAAACGGAGCATTTTTTCGGAGATATTTTGCAAACCCGAACAGCTCAGAAAGGAGCTTCGCAGCGTTTTTGAACACAATGCTGCCAGCCTCCACAGCAGAAGCTGTTTCGTGGGTCTTTTCCAGCATTACAAAAATTGCCTCAGCCGTTGTTGCAGGTGCATGGAGTCGCCACATTTTCTAGAAGGGGTAGCAAGCCACAAGCATAGTGGAATTTGAGATTCTGCAAAAACAAAGTGGAATTTGAGAATGCGCGTGCATGTTCAAAACTAACTAACTTGCATCTGCATCTTGGTTTGACAGTATTGGTGGAACAAAGGGTCTCCTGCAGCCTGGTGACTAGCCCATTGACAGTCCAATGGCGGCTAACCGCTTAAGCAGCAAGACGTGGTCGGCAGAGACCCTACTCCGTGGGTTTCGGATCGTGGCAAACCAACCAGCAGGGGAGTTGCTTCCTTCAGGTGATCCTGAATTGCTTCGTGAACTCCAGGATATTGATTGGGCAAAACCACTCCAACAAATTCCCTTCAACAGTAGATTCTCCCCCAAATCCATGGAATGTTTGTAAGAACTGGTTCAATATTGTTAAAACAATATTATATATTGAGTGTCCTAATACCTGTAACGGTCAAAAAGGGATTTCCACATAGGGATCCCCCAAAAGGTGCACAAAGCAAATAATTATTTTGGGGAACTGGTAATCGGGGATTTGAGTGAAATGGTGTGTGTGTATTCTTCACCTGCCCGACCTTCTTGCTCTCTCTGCAACTTTTCATTCAATTTACAAATGGAAATTTGCAGTTGAACATTTTTGAGCCTGGTAGTCTCCAATGACAAATTTCCCATCAGATGTGTTGCCCGTACTAGCGACATTTTTTCAATTGGCAAGTGGTTCCTTCCTTGCATGGGCCATGGTCCCTCAACTGTTGTGCAAAAGGCTTGGGCCTGTTGTGCCTTGAGATTGTTTGCACTTTACAAATGATGGCTGTTCATTGCTTCAAAGCTTGTGTGGCCATTATTTGTTTTGTAGCTGTCACCTGTCACCTGTTACCTGTGGCCATTATTTGTGTGCTCCAGTTCGTGCTTCTTGGTGTACTCCCTCGTGCCATTTTGCGTGCTCCAGTTCGGGCTTTTTGGTGTACTCCCTCGTGCCATTTTGCCTGCTTCAGTTCGTGCTTTTTGGTGGGTTGCCTCGTGCCATTTTGCGTGCTCCAGTTTGTGCTTTTTGGCGTACTCCTTCGTGCCAATTTGTGTGCTCCAGTTCGCGCTTTTTGGTGTACTCCCTCGTGCCAATTTGCGTGCTCCAGTTCGTGCTTTTTGCTGTGCTCCCTCGTGCCATTTTGCGTGCTCCAGTTCGTGCTTTTTGGTCTACTCCCTCGTGCCATTTTTTGTGCTCCATTTCGTGCTTTTTCGTGTGCTCCTTCGTGCCGTTTTGTGTGCTCCAGTTCGTGCTTTTTGGTGTGCTCCTTCGTGCCATTTTGTGTGCTCCAGTTCGTGCTTTTTGGTGTACTCCCTCGTGCCATTTTGCGTGCTCCAGTTCGTGCTTTTTGGCGGGCTCCTTCGTGCAGTTGGTTTTGTGGACTGTTACAGCTTCAATTTTTTAAAAAAATGAAAGGCGCTGTTTATGTATTCGATTTCTCTGGGGGAGCCACCCCAGGAATCAGCCCAGCTGTCTGTTGAACACTTGAGGTGTCCCAATGGAGTTCTCAGAATGGTGCCCGGACAAACAGCCCGCTGCACATGCAAGTATTGTGGTTGAATTGTCTTGCTTTGGCAGGTTGCGAGCAGTTGGGCAGAGCTACACCAGAAACAGCAAAAAATGGCGCTTTGCAGGGAGGATTGTGGTTAAATTTGGCTGTTTCCCTCGTGCTCCTTTTTGTGCTCTGTCTTGTGCTCACTGTTACAGCCAATAGGCTAGAGCAAAATTATATAATTATAATTATAATATTATATTATATTATAGTATATTATATTATATTATGATATTATATATATAGTGTTGTAATGCCACCCTGGATTAACAAACATTGTTTCTCCTTATTCGGGTATACGGTTGAGTAGCGAAACTAGCCTGGTTATCCACTGTTTGTTAATCGTAGGCTGGCATTAATGGGCCCCTGGTTCCTTTCATCAGCCTGCCTTGAGGGGTAAAAGGATAAGGGTAACCGACGAAGACTTCAAAGCAATACATTCTGCAGGGATAGATCACCCCCACATCTTGAAACTCATCGGTTCCAAGTTCACATTTCGAGGTTTTATGGTCTATTAGTAGTTTCACATGTTCGAGCCAAAACACTGTACCCCCAGGAGTTGAAAGCCGAACTTGGCGATTTGGATGATGAAGTTACTCAAGCCATCGTCAAACAGAGTGGGCTCCCTTGCGAAATGTTTGATGGTCACCCAGACTTGGCCCGTTCAATTGCTGAGGAAGAGACCATCCCAGGATCGCCTCCCATGATGGCTCCTGTGGTCGGCGTTGCTCCCGTGGTTGGTGCCACTCCCTCGATTCATATCGATTTAGATGACTCAGATGTTGAGGTTCAGTATGACGGTGAGATTCCATCCCCAAGCGACAAAGGTTTGATGTCACCATCGGTTTCCTTGATTATATTGAGAAGGGTATAATGTTTACAACTGTTGTTTTTTGGTGCTGAGCCGTGCTTTGGCACTGTTCTACGACCCCGGAGTTTCTGGAAATTCTTGTTCAAATTATTAGTGGGGATTGTTATAGGCCATCCAACACCAAGGCTGAATCGGTTGCTACAAAGTTCTTTTCACCACCCACTCCCCTGGAGTCGGACTTGGATGAGCAGGCTTTGGCCAAAGTCCCCGCACCTCCTCCTTTCCCCAAAGGTCCCGAGCCCCCCAAAGCTCCTGAGTCGCTTGTGGTGCCAGTTGCTACTCCTGCCCGAGCGCACGCAGTTCAGACAGGGAACCAAGCGGGGGGAGCTGAAACAAAACCCCCAATGCAAGGGGATATCCCTGTGTATGGGGACACAAACGCAGAGGTCCCCAAAGCTGGTGAATTACTTCTTTCAGAAAATGCAATCAGCTTGAGGCTTAGAAGGGTCTTTCAGCCAAACCCTAAGACTGGGGAGTTTCGAGTGGCCGATAACATCAGAAAGGTGTACCTGGACAAAAAAGGGAAAGGCAAGACTAAGATTTTGCAGATCTTCCAGAGTTGCGGCTTTGATCCGGACAGGGTGATGTCAAAACAAGCGTGTCCTCAATATTTCCCAATAAACATTTGCAATAAGAAACGCTGCTGTCATCAAGCTGACACGTTCATTCTTTTAGCTGGACATCACTATTCGCTTCGCCAAAGACGGCCCTCTAGGACAGCTTCGTCCAGGAATGTGAACTTTTTTCGGAAGAACTACTATCGTCAGAACTTGTGGTTGAAGGAGAGTACATGAGCGAAAAGACTATGCTTGAGGATTGGGGCTGGTCGCACTCCCTTGATACTTCATTAGTTCATGCTGTTACCATGGGTGATTTTGCTAAAGATTTTTGACTAGCTTATCAGCTACAACCCCTCTGTAAGATTAACTTCCTTTTTGAATCAAATAACGTCTGTCTTGTGACCACCCGCTCTGTAAGGCAAAGGGTAGATGCTGTGAAACGAACTGCCGAAGGTGATCCAGCTAAGTTGATGAGGCAATCTCCCAGGGCCTGGGTTTTTCTGGGTAACCACCGGGGATTTTTCAAAGGCCAGACTGTCTTCAACAACATCAAGAACTATTGGGCTCCAAAATTGGAGGTCTGCATTTGATCACTATTTAACTATTTTGGTAGAACACAATCAGCCAATATATATATATTATTTGTATTATAGTATTTTTTTTACTATCCCGCAACTCGTGAGATTTCAACCTGGTTGATATGGAACCCAAAATTTATACCAACAACTATTCCGAAATCAAGGGAATGTCGTTTGAATCATAGCCATACTTGCTGAGCTGAAACTTATGTTTTCCCATGCTTCCTCTTGGCAGGAAAGATCGCTACGAACGGGACTTGGTCCTCTACTGGGGCTGAAACGGCAGTGAAAGGCAAGTCGAAGCGGCTTGGTGGATTGAGGGGTTGTTGTGAATGTGGGTTATTAACGAAACCGGCCTCACCATGCTGGATCCAAACATTATAAAGCCACCTCTCTAGGCAGAAGAGCACTACTTCAATGAAAAGGAGGCTGAGCTGGGATGAGAAAGGTGTTGACTTTGGGTCTTTTGCGCAGCCATCCCTTTCACACCCCGCACCGGTCGCTAGCTTGCCTTGTGCATTGAAGCTGCCTGCGGATCAGGGGGGTGCGAAGAAAGGGAAAGGGAGAGATGGGGCACCCACCCCACGAGGTCCATCATCTGAGACGTTAGAAGGCCAGGGTTACCTGTAAAAAAGAGTTGAACGATGTTAAAGTCAGGGGCGGGCCTTTTTGGTTCTCCCATGAACTTAGCCACAGAAACCCCTGCAGATTCCAATGGCTCCGAGTCAGAGGAGGATTTGCAGGTGGATCCCAAGAGCATTAAGGCCGAACAGGCAGCAGCACTCGAGCAAGCTACACGCAAGCGGGCAGGCATCCCTGAGCTGGAGTTAGATGCTCTCCCAAGCACCATTGCGATCAAAATGATGAGCTTTGGGCTTGGCTATAAGAGCAAAATTTATTCAGGAAATTAAAACCCCAAAATCGTCATGGTATGGAATAGCTAACCCGGCTAACCCACCAAAAACTTTGGGGTGTTGTTCGTGAGAAGTTTGGGATCCCGGGGTCGCATCCATGTATACTTGGGGGCAATTTGGATAGAACACAGCTGGCTGCCCCAATAATTTGGTCCCGCTATGTCAGTTCCTAAGCCAGTGTAGCCCAATTCAATCAACAGGGGGCACGAACTTTTGCCAAGGACTTGCTTGGCTAAGAGGCAGAAGAAATTGCAAGACGCTTTGGACAAGTTTTCTGCCGCGGATACCTTATCCACTTTGCAGAACCAGTTTCTTGCCAAAGTTTTTGGGGCAAAGACAAACTTAGGTTTCATACCCGGTCATACCCTGAATATCTTTGGTGGGGATACCCATCCGTGCCTTCAGGATGAAGGCGAAGATCCAAGACGTCATCAACAACCTGCAGACTGTGAGTGAGACCATCGATACGAACTATTCGCAGGGTGTCGTTCATGGTTTCTCAGACCAGCCAGTTTCTCAGGGGAAGTTCTGAAACACGCAAGCCAACTCCAGTGATAATTATGCTGTTGTCGCACAACCGTGCCCCCAGGTCAGAGGAGACCCTGAAAAACCAATATGATGTTGCGAAGAAACTGCTGGAATCTCAGCATCCTCAAACAAAATGGATAATGCACTTTCTATTCCTTTCTCCTTTTGGAACATGTCAGAAGCATCCGTTAGAACCAAATAGAATCTTCATTCCAGAATTCGGCTTCATGTGCCTTCCACAATGCGTGAGATACAAACGTGCTGAGGGCTGTTGAAGCTATGAACCTTGAGACACGCATGAGGCAGGGTCTCAGCAGCCCCGGCTAGTTCTGCAGCATGTTACTGTTGCCCTTTCCACATATTTTTTGAAAGCGTTCTGGCAGGCCAATCCTGCCGAAGGCAGCTCCCAAGTCATCGGCGAGACCGAGCCTGCGATCTGCCAAGGCCAAGGCGAAGGCTAAGGCCGTCCCGAAAGCGGACAGCAAACGAAAGGCTGCCCCAAAGAGTGCAGCCTGAGACGCGGGGTTGGAGCTGATACTGTGATGCTTTTCACCGCATCATTTGTTCTTTCTGTTTAGCTTTAGCTGGCATCTGATATGCCGGGTTGTGCCACCTGTGTGGCATCTGGTTTGGGGTTGCCTCTGAACAACCTATGTGAAATCATGGGACAGATGGCTGACACAAAACGTGAATCATGGGGAAAAAAGATGAAATTACGTTGAAGTTCTTCAGCATCAGCTGGCGCTATCAATCAGTACATTGTTGAACAGCTCAAGCATTGTCAGCAACAGTACACAGGGCTTGAAATCCCACACTGCACTTGACATGCCAGGAACAGAGGCAGAGCCATCTTCAAGCAGTGGCCAATTCATGGAGGCCTACGCAGAGGCTGTTGTTGATGGGGTCCAAGCCCCATGATGTTCCATCGACTGTTCAATCAATATCAGAAGGTAAAAGGTAATCAAATTCAACCACCAGCCCTGATGGTTTGCCTGACCCAAGGTCCCTGCAGTTGTCACTGAGCGGATGCGGCAAGGGGCCTTGATTGATCAGGGCAAGCAAGGCTCATCACTGGAAAAAAAATCAAATGTGGCTCGAAACGCTTACCGTATGATTCGGCGTACAGGGTTGGGCTGGAGGATTCCCATAGAAACTTTTGACTACCAAAAGCTTGACGGGACCTTCGAAACCATACACTATTTACGACCCCAGAAGATTTTGGAATATTTCATCGCGAAAAAGCCTATCTTAGTCTGTGGTGAACCTGAAGCGTGTGGTATGGGAAAGATCTGCAAAGCTTTTTGGGAATCCTACAGGGGATACCATCCTACGCACCAAGTCTTTCAGTCCCATGCTGGACACTTGCATCGCGTCATACCACTGGCCATTCACGGTGATGAAGGAAAAGGAAAGAGAAGGTCCAACACTACTTTGGTTGCCCTTGAAGCTGTCATAGGGTGCAAGGGCGAAACCCGTGCTTGCACAGAATGTAAGCCATCTTGGGTAAATCTGGCAAATTTGGGTCCCAGAGCCTGTGACGAGCACTTCATTTCGAAAACAATGCGAACGAACATGAAGGGACATTCGTATCTCCAGCACTGGCCATTGTTCATTGTCCCAGGCATTTTGAACAAAAACTACAAGCCTCTCACCCTCAAGCTGCTAGAGGTTGTGGCTACAGATTTGGAACAGCTTTTTACCACTGGAATCCAGGTGGGAGGTGAAACTTACTTTGGTGCTATCATTGCAGCGAAGGGAGATTTGAAATGGCACACAAAGGTTGGGCGCCTAGTCCGGAGCTTTGAACACCAAGGAAGGAAACGGGATCTCCAAATGTGTCACTGGTGTGGAGCAGGATCCCCTGGGAACCCCGCCGAGGATGTCGCGAGTGACCATCCATGTTGGGAGCGAACTCTATTTTTTGAAAGGCCATGGCTGTCGACGGACCTTCCACCCATGAATGTTATCCCCTTTGATGCACACTGCCCAGAAATGATGTATCAACATGATCCTTTTCATACTCTCCGACTGGGACTTTATCGCGACTTTGTTGGCTCTGCTGTCTTTCTCTACATGTCGTGGGGCTTGTTTGGGGCTGGTAGGATACCAGTAAAGCTGGAAGCAGCATGGTCTAGCTTCTACTTATGGCAAATGGCTGAGAGAAAGAGAGCATCACTGCGCAGCTTTTCAACAAGTCTGTTCAATTACAAGTCAAAGAAATCTTACCCTTGGATCAACGCCAAGGGGTCCGATGTCACGCTTTGTTTGAAATGGCTTTGTGCTGTGACCTATGGCTTCATTCAGACTTGCATTGATGCCGAGCAGGTGCGTATTCTGAATGTGATTTTGAGCACCTCCAGAACTGCAATTGATTTTTTTGATCACATGAATGAACATTGGCTGTGGATGAGTACTGCCTGCGCTGCTTATCTTTATGAAGTGGGCCATGCATTCCTTGTTGGCTACACGTGGCTGGCCGGATTCGCGTATCAAAGCCAACTTTGCTTATTTTCAGTGAAGCCAAAGGCACATTTCCATCGTCACATTTTACTATCTCTACTTCTCCAGATCGAACGACATGAGCAGGTAGTGCTCAATCCTCTCGTCTTTAACTGCGAACAGAATGAAGACATGATTGGAAAGATTTCTTCTTTGACCATCAAATTGGACAGCAGGGTTTCCACCAGAAGAGTGTTGGAATTTTGGATGGTAAAGGCTGCCATTTTATTCAAAAGGCACTTCGGTGGGAAGTAAGCCTACATGTTGGGAATGTATGATGTTGAAAGTTCATCCCAATAATATAGATTCATAGATTTTACATCATGTTTTGATGCTTGTTGTTTCCAAGCATATGTGAAGCATCCCCAACGAGCAAAAAAACATCACACAGCGATCTTTGAGGCTGCCAGCGATAAAAAGTGCTGTTTCAGACTTCGAGCGTAAATTTTACATAGGTGGGTTTTCCAGGTATATATATATATATATAGATCATCAGCATTAGATCAACATTTGGAGCTATTGTCCCCCAAACAAATAAACCTTGAAGGGATATTTGTCTAACATCTCTAATGTTATTATCACGCATTATCTGGAAGCTCGCAGATTTCCCCCAAGAATCTCGGGGTTCTCAATTTTTCACGGCTGAGCAGACTAGTGCATCCTACCAGCTGTTCTCGCAGCTGTCAATCTGAGGAATCTTGCCCTGGCACAATCAGGCAAATCCGGTGGAGAACGCATCACAAGGGAGCAGCACCTTCCCCCAAATATATGGTGAATCAACTTGGATAGTGTTTTTGGAAATGTTGAGACGAAGGAAGGCACCACGGGCTTCAAAAAGAAAGGCAGCCCCCAAAATGTGGAGATGCGGCTGGCTAACCGAACTAGGGTTTATTGTATGGCATCCCCAATATGCCCAGCATACTGCTCACACAGGCCCAGACTCAGATCCAGAAACATCTCGCACGAGGCATTGGTGTTGGTGTTGGGTCCAAACTAGCCATCCTGCTTCACGGCACTGCCTGAGATTGGGGTAGGAGGAAGGAAGGAGGGAAAATTCAGTGCGTAGGTGTTCAACATACCAGCCTCATCCGTGCCATCCCATAGCTGGAAGGGTGATGGGACAAGTCATCCCTGAAAAAAAACCCAGATACGAACAGACTCCATGTTCAAGAACTCGGTCACCTTCTCTGTGGCCAATGCGACGTACTCCGGGTAGCCAACTGCATCGGATCCTCTGAAGAGGCGGGTGCAAAGAGTGAACCATCCATCCTGCAGGGCTGCAGAAGCGAGCAAATTGTGGGCACTGCACTGCACGGGGAAAATGTTTGGAAGCCACTTGAGTGCGAACAGTTTTGGATTGAAACTGGTCCCACCCACAAACAAAAACAAGCTCCTGAAAGCTGGACTGCGCTTGCAACTTGGGGGCGATGTGCGACATGAACACGTCCCTGATCGCCAAGAAGCGTGCTGCTCCTTCCTCATTGTCGGGCTTCCAACGCTTGGCAAATGTGGCCGCTGGCCTTCTGCCCTTCTCTTTGGCACCAGTGTCGCCATCCGCGTTGGCAACAGACTTGCGGCTTGTCTTGGCTTTCGCTTCGGGAACAGCTTTCGCTGCGGCCTTCGCCTTGGCGCCGGCCTTGGCCTTCGCCTTGGCGGCGGCCTTAGCCTTCGCCTTGGCGGTGGCTTTCGCCTTCGCCTTGGCTCTGCTCCGCCTGGCCGCCGGTTTCTTAAGCACCGGGTCGTCTCCCTCCTCCTCACCATGGTCAGACTTGTGGTCACCGTCGCCCTCACCATCAGGCATCTCTGCGTCTTCTGTCTCCCCATCATCCCCGGCACGAAAAGGTGCTGATAGTTGCTCACGACGAAGAATGAGAGGTGCCTGATCAAGGTTTGGGTGTAAGTCAAGTGTTCGACCCCCATGTATCTTCAACCTTAAACTTTTCACGCCCCCTTTAGCAAAGCCGACCTCCGGCTTCAGCTCCATCAGCGCAAGAACATCGCGATTGGCAGCATTCTTGTCGCACTTCTCCACCTTGTCCATCTCAGACTTGTCGATCTTGCCTTTGTCAATCCCAGGATTGCCGGTCTTGGCCTCCTTGTCCATGTCCATGGCCGTCAGTGGAACACCTTGTGGTTCATCCGGCTTGCCTTGTGGCAGGGATGCGGAACTCGCAGGCTTCACCTCTGGGTCCTTGCATGGTGGCAAGGGCGTAGCCCTACAAGTAACAAGTGTGTGGCGGAAGGTTACTAGTCATCAGAAACAATATCTAGGTGGGTCCTTGCTATCTTCCGAAGATGGCACCTCAAGGACATCACCATGAATGGCTGCAGCAGCTTCCACGGCAGCAGCTGCAATGTTATTGAGGTCCATCGGCAGCGTCTCCAAATTGTCCATGGATTTTCCTCGGGCCAGTGAGAAAAAAACGATCGCAATTTTGGGGAAATGTTTCTGGGTCATCCTTAGTGTCATCCTTAGATGGGTACTTCAGTTGTAATTTGTTGTGCTATAGCTGCTATAAGTGGTGTCTTTTTACAAGAGAGGCATTTATTTACTTTAGGGTATATTTATAAACTGAAATTTATACAAGAGGTGCATTTATTTACTATAGGGTATTTATAAACTGAATATTTGGTTTGTCTTTGTTGTCCAAGATTGTCCATGGTTTGGTTTAGAATTTGAACTGCCAAGTCTCCACGCTGGAACTTGTCTTTCTTGGCTTCGGCTGCCAAGGACCTGTGGTGCCACCAAACTCCCCAGCCCCAAAGCCCCAAAAAACATAGATCCCATTATTATCCATTATTTGTGTCATGACACCAAATATAAGACTGAGGACCAGTAACTAAATTTGTGGTGAAACATTGTTTCTTTTTTGTTGGGCCAAGCCTGAGACGCTTGATCTTCCCCAAAAGGTCGTCGCGCATTGTTGACAAATCCTTCTCAACCTCATCCCTTGAAGGGCCTGAGTCCACCACGCACTCATGGGGCCCCACCTTGTCACACACCGCGCAGGGAGCAAGATCACCGGGCTCTTCATCAGACTCCCTTGCGGCTGGGTCCCAAGTGTCCTCAGGGATCCCCAAGTCAGGAAGGCTGGGCATGGGATCATCAAGCACGGTCTCTCCCACAGGCTGCGAATCATCAGGGATGGTCTCAATCAACGGGTTGGAATCTTCAGGGCCATCTTCACCAACCGAAGAACCATGCAAAGCAGAATCACCAACAGACTCAGGGGATGGTTCAGGTTCACCCCCAGGCTCAACTCCTGATTCACGCTCATCATCGCTGACATGGTTGATTCCGGCTGAGGAAGTTCCCCAGTGCTGGTCAAAGATGGTCCAAATAGGCTGCAAAGACGTATCCTTGGTACAAATTGTGAACATATCTTATTGTTTTGGGTCGCCCAATCCAAATTGTAGGTGTCTATTTGGTAATGGGATTTCCTTTCCCCCTCAAAAGAAAGACGTTGTAACAATCCTTGCGAGTGGCCCTGGGTTTCTGGGATCCGCTCAGCCACCTCCTCACTAAGTGGGAATACAAACGCTTGATCCCCCATGAATCCACCTGAGAACCTCCTTGGTCGGGAGGTAGGCCAAACATTTGACGAAATGCCACCACCTTCAAGGGGTTTGCAGTGGGAAATGTCACAATAGAAAGGTTTATTTGCGGATAAGGAGACAACTATTTGAATTCCAAATGGCCATGACAGAGTAATTAAAGTGCGAGTCAAAAATCGGGTATGGATCGCTCCGCGGTGATCCGTACTATGGATCGCGAGTGCTTACGTAAGGTGCCTGATCCGTACCCTTTCGTAAGGGCCCATCATAGCGTTACTTCTCCTCCTGCTACTGTTGCTGCTAAAACTGTTACCACTGCTTGTAGAGGGAGCAGAAAAAAAACAGCACCAGCAGAAGTAGTGGCAATAGAAGGAGAAGATGCAGTAGCAGTAGAAATAGCAGTAGCAGTAGTACTAGTAAAAGTCACAATAATAATAGTAGTAATCTCATGGTAGTAGCAGCAGTAGCAGCTGCAGTAGTACTAGGAGTAGTAGGAGGAGTAGGAGTAGGAGTAGGAGTAGTAGTAGTAGTAGCAGTAGTAGCAGTAGTAGCAGTAGTAGCAGTAGTAGCAGTAGTAGCAGTAGTAGTAGTAGCAGCAGTAGCAGTAGCAGTAGCAGTAGCAGTAGCAGTAGTAGTAGTAGTAGCAGCAGTAGTAGTAGTAGCAGCACAAGCAGCAGTAGAAGTAGCAATAGAGTCGGACTTTCATATTGGCATTTGTTGTGGCGTGACTGTGTTCGGGTATAGATCGGGTATGGAACGGGTATGGATCGGGGTATGGATCGGGACACGCTATCTGGGCCGGCTTTCACGCTATGGCTGTGAAGGAAGAGAGCGGGGTATTTCTAGTCTAGTCTATATAGTTCTACGCGTGCCAGGCAAAGCAGAAACAGAAGGAGTTATAATCATAGCGCCACTAGAAGTACAAGAAGCACCTAGTGGAACTAGAACCAGTCTGACTAGCCTCCAAGGTGCGCTTGCATTGCTAGTAGCTACCCAACTAGTTGCATTTGTCCAACTACCAGAAGCACACGGAGGAAGTGAACCAGCCAGCAGCGATAGCAGGACCAGCAGGAGCAGCAGCAGAAGCGACAGCAGTAGCACCAGCTCCTGGGAGGAAGATGACTAGTAGTGGCAGCAGCAGCAGCAGCAACAGCAGCAGCAGCAGCAGCAGCACGGAGGCAGCGGAGGCAGCGGAAGCAGCAGTAGCAGCAGTAGCAACGATAGTAGCAACAGTAGTAGCAACAGTAGTAGCAACGGGAGTAGCAACGGGAGTAGCAGTACGAGGACCAGAAGCAGTATTAGGATAAAAAGCAGCAGTAGGGCCAGCATCAATCTTTCTTCAATGAGAAAGGGGTATGGATCAGGGGTATGGATCAAGGGTACGGATCATGCAGTACCACAGGGTATGGATCAAGGTATGGATCGGGGGTATATGGATCGTGTGTGGGCCCGGGGCCTTGATCTATGCTCGTACCCAAATGAATTTGTGGGGTAAACATTGTTTGAACCTTTGGGCCTCCGCTCTGATCGCCTCAATGGGGATAGCTTGCGGCATCGGAACTTGCGGGGTATATCATGCCGCCACATGACGAAGCAAGGCGGCATTGTATGCCGCAGCGTCAGTTGACGCCACCCCAATCAAATTTTTGTTTTTCCATTGGGTCAAACTTTTGGTCTCCCTAACCAAGCGACGAATGGAG